GGAGTTCTTCCGGAGTGAAAACTCGGGCCACTGAGATTAGATGATGTGTTGAAGTATTTCCACCTTGACCACCATCTCTGTGCATGTTTAGCTATGGGTTTGCATGACTTACCTGTACAGGCTGGTCAGTCAACCTGCTTGTACAATGTGGGCACCTAGATAAAGGCACAAGCCCCTCCAGACCAGGGGCCCTCTATGGGGACCCTTTTGCCTCCCAGGGGACCTTTGGCAGTGTCTGGAGAGACGTCGGGTTGTCAGGACGAGGGTGGAGAGTGCTGCTGGCACCGAGTGTGTGAGGACAGGCTGCTGTGGCTCAGAGCAGGCGTCACAGCAAAGAATTATTGGCCCGAGAAGTGAGCAGTGCGAGGTTAAGGAGCCCTGCTCTGTGTTTATATTAGAGTTCCCTATAAAGTCTAATCCCACATTTAGCAGGGATGCTCCGTGGCAGTGGGGATACGAGGACAGGCTCCAAGGCCATCTGAGTAGCTCAAGTCGGACCCCTGGTGAGGAGAAGCCCTTGGAAAGCTGTGGTGGGCTGGGGCCACCCCCTCCATGAACCGAAGGCGGTCCCAGCTGCCCCGTGAGGTCGCGTAGAAGGGTGAGTTTAATGGACCTCTCTGCTGGTACTCGGAGATGACGTGGTCAGGAGTGGCTATTTGATCTCCAGTTATTCCAGAATTTCCACTCTCGGGCCAAACATGTCTCTTCAGTCTGCTGTTCTTCGCTCGTCCTCAAACTTCCCTTGAAGGTCATCTAAAATCTTCATTTTTCAAAGGTGAGGCTTTTATATTCTCCTCTAACGTCTTCTGCAAAGGTATCGATTTGTTCATACAACTGTTCATGAAGAAGGTGAACAACCGAACGCTCGTAATCTGGCCTCGAATGGTTGCTGGCTTTTCTCTGACCTGTATTTCAGGGACTAGACTGCAGGGGGGACCCCTCACACTGGGGTGTGGGCATGTGTTTTTAGTTCTGTGCTCAAGTGTGTGGCAGTTGGTTTTTTTTCCCCTTTAGGAAAATTCCTTTTCTTAGAAAGAGTGCTGTAGGGATGCTCTTGTCGGATTTGCACACCGTGGGAAGAAGGTGGCTCACTCCCGATGTCTTTGTCTGTCCCTGAGTCAGCTCCTCTTCAAGTCCAGCTGCTCAGCAAGAGTGCCTGGTTTTCTAAACCTCGGAGTTCATCATCAGGGCCTTTGGCTTTCCCTGTTTGCTATGGGCACCGCTGAAATTCAGATCACAAGGCCCTGTGTCCCCCACACTTCCTTTCCGTGAATGGCAGCTGTCCGTCACACCAGCGGACATGGGTGGTTTCTGGACTTTCCAGCTGGCCGGGCGAAGGTCTGTGTCGGAGAGCGGACTGTGGGGAGCCTGCTGTCTGTCCCGGAGCGCTGCACTCACAGGCAGGCTGACGGAGGCCCCAGCCAAAGGAGTGGGTGTTGCTTTCGTTTTTTAATCATCGTTTTCTATTCCATTTATTTATCTCTTCTCAGTGGGGTGCCCCGTTGGCTGGTGAATACAGTCCTCGAGAATAAAGCCGACTTTCCCAAGTCACTATCTATTCCGATCAAAATCATTTAGATGGGCTGTTCTGACAGCGCATATAGGTTGTTCTCTTTGGATGATAGTTCATTTGGGGGACTTTTCAGAGTGTTCCCATCTGACTGAGAAATACAGAATGGGTTTTGTTCTCAGTAGTTTCAGAAAACCATCAGCTGGCACTCGCAGTGCACCATGATCATGAGCAACTGACTGGTTGGCCTGAGAAATTGCATCGAAGGCGTTTGTGGCCATTTCCTCGGTGACGATATACGGGGGATGTTTCTGTGATCACTCTGGCCAGGCTTTAAGGACCCCCAGTTCCGAGGGCTGGATTGGCAAACGGGTACATTTGTTCTCCAGGTTGCTATGGACTCATTCCTGGACCCTTTAGGAGATGAACTGAATTCCAGAGTAAAATATATCAGAAGTTGTTCTCCAAGTGGGTCAGATTTTACCCTGTGGCAGCCTTATTGGACTTGCTGGAACTCCATGGAAGGGTTCTGCTCAGGTTCTGAAAACTGTTCCCCGGGCTGGGTCTGAGGCAGCCCTGTGACGGGTCCTTCCATTTCGGTTCTGCCTGCTGATCATCCTCCCCCAGCTCCGGGCCACGGTCCCTGCTACAGACAGCACCTCTTGTCGTCTGTCCTCTTCTGCCCACTTTGGCTTTCTCATCTCGATTTAGCTCAGAATCCTGGGAGTCCATCCTCGCCCCCCACCCTGCTCCTGCCGCCCCGTAGTCACAGGTCTCTCTCGGGCCCTTCCCACCCCCGCCTCACTGTTTCCTCTCTCCTTGGACTCCTACTTCTCAACCTCCAAGCAGGCTCTGCTGGGTCTTTCCCATCCATCTTACAAACAGACGGACAAATGAACAAATCTCCACGCACCTCAAAACCCTCCTCAAAGCCGGCCTTCCTCTCGGGCTGCAATCCACCATGTCGTTGAAAATGTTTCTTTGTAGAATTTTAACAGCAGGACGCAATCGCCCAGGTTTTTCTGGCTGCAAACGCAATGCTTGCTCGGCCTGCTCTCTACACCTCACCTGCATTGTTTAGCTCCCTTGCTCACACCAGCCTCCGGGGACGTGGGCGAGTGGCTGGCTGCCAGGAGACACCTCTGTTTTCTGTTTCTCTAACCACCCTGTCTGTCTTGGCTTGTTCCTGACATACCTCTTACTCAATCCATGTAGGCATCCAAGCCTCCTTCTGTTCCAGGCATGCTACCAGTTTGTATTTCTGGGTAAAGTGCCCGGGACACCTGCACCCCGCTTTCTGCCACTGGCTCGGATTCAGTCCAATTACAACTCCCACTCTTCACCTTCCTTAAAAAGTCCAAAGGGAGTTTCTTTTAAATCTAGATGAAGAAGAAGTGTGGTGAATTGCTGGGAGCTGAGTAGTCATTCCTAAAGACATGCCACTTTTATTTATTTTTATTTTTTTATTGAGTTTTAGAGAGAGAGGAAGGGAAAGGGAGAGGAAGAGAGAGAGAGAGAGAGAGAGAGAGAGAGAGAGAGAGAGAGAGAGAGAGAGAAGAGAGAGAGAGAGAGAAACATTGATGTGAGAGCCAAACATCAATCGGCTGCCTCCTGTACGCCCCCCACTAGGGATCGAGCCCGCATCCTGGGCATGTGCCCTGACCAAGATTCAAACCGGCAACCTTTCGGTGCACAGGATGACACTCAACCAACTGAGCCACACTGGCCAGAGCAAGGCGTGCCCCTTTTAAAAGAGAGCTTCCATTCCCAGTTGCTACAACAATATGAAATAGTTGAGATTGATGAGAGTTAATGACGACCTATCAGTCCTCACTTTATTAGGAGAATCATCCATCATCATGTATGGGGTGGTGAGAAGGTGCCCCCATACCCGAAGAGCCCCCTCATAGTCTGGGAGGAGGGGAGAGGGAGCACCGGTCATGGCAGGCCTAAGGATGAAGCGTGTGTGACATCCCAGCACAGGGGCGGGCTGTTAGCAGGACTGTTTAATGCTAGAAGCAAGCTCACTGTGCTTTTTAGCCTCTCTTACTCCCGGATGCTCTGTCCACTGGAGGCAGTCAGGATCCTGGCCAAGGAGCAAGTTCACTGTGGGCCTGAGCCGGGCCAGCTGACCATGGTGTATAGCTTTCTCTGCAGACTGCAGGAAGGGGCAGGCTCCCCCATCCGACGCTCCTACCAACGGCCCAGGTCGTCCTGGGTGTGGCCATTGCTTTGCCAAAGTCCTTGGTCCAGGCTAAGGCCAGGGAGGTGGCTGAGGACACTCCCAAGCCTGTCTGTTGACTGTTCCCAGTGAGGACCCCTGGCTGGCTGGGTGGGGGGAGGGACAATTCTGTGTCAGGTGGTGTCCTGGATGCTAAGCCCTGAGGGCCATGAGTGGGGACCTGGGTTAAAAGCCTGGCTTCATTCTTCCCACATGTGTCTGTGACAAGTTAGACAACTTCTGTGAGCCTCCCTGTATGTGTGAAGTGCTTTGTAAACTGGGGTGCAGTGTGGATCTGGGTGATCATTTCATGAACATCTTTAAATAAAGAGTGTTTTTTGTTTGTTTTTTTAATATATTTTTATTGATTTCAGAGAGGAAGGGCGAGGGAAGAGAGAGATAGAAACATCAATGACGAGAAAGAATCATTGATCGGCTGCCTCCTGC